TCTGTGGGAACACTGAGGAATTAAAACTCAGGGAAAGCCGAGGGGAAGCTCTGCCTGTCCCTCCTGCGGCAGCTGCGGGGGCAAAAGCAGCTGGGTGGGGGCTGAGAAATCCTTGTCTCTGCCACAAAACCTTCCCGGGCCCGGGAAGGCAGGAGGGGGAGACAGTGGAGAGGCCAAAGAGCAGAAAGGAGAGTGGAGAGCAGATCCCTCTTCTGGCGGAGGGGATCCTTTCCCTCGGCTCGGCTCTGAGACGCCAATCAGGCAGGAACCAAAGCAGGTATTTGCCTTCCTGGGACAGAGGCACCCGGCGATCATCCAGCCGATCAGATCCCGCTGTTCCCGCGGCTGGGATCCCCCTCCCAGCGCAGGGCACGAAGGGGACAGAGGGACAGCGGGCTCTGCGCGCCGGGATTGCCACGCCCCTCCAGGGACACGGCTGTGACACCCCGAGCAGCGAACCCTGCCCAGAACAAACCCGGGCAGCTCAGGACACCCCTTCCCAGCGCTGGCTCCGTTCAGGAGCCGTGAAAGCGCAGGAACATCCTGCTAAGTCACAGCCTACGTGTGGTTTTTTCTTTCTAAAGAGAAGGCGAGGCAGGGAGAGCAAAGAGCAGGCAGAGAATAGGACGGGAAGGATGTTAACCGGGAAGCCTCGCTGATGTGTGCTGCTCTGAGCTGCTGTTTGTCATCCTCCCCTTTCTCTCTGCCTGACCCTTCGCTCCGGAGGATTGTGCTCCTTTGTTCCCTTTGCCAAGGTGATGTGCCAGCTGTTTTCCAAAGGCCCTGGCTCCGGAGAGGAGGATGTGTGGAAGGGGGGGAGGCTCAGTGCTGTGCTCCCCAACATCACAGGGCTCCCCTCCCGCTCCCGAGGCCTTGAGGTAGCAAAGCAAAGCCTCCTCCTCCTCCTCCTTCCTGCTTCCTGGGCCAGGACCCCCCATCTCTGGCCCTTGGAGGGCCCCGACCCCCAATCGTGGATGGAGAGAGGGGTGAGAGGGCTGGGAGGAGGGAGATCCTGCAGTGTGGACCCTGCCC